TCACCCTGACCTCATCGTTATCGCCCCGATTCTCCGATTATGACATCTCTGTTTGAATTAGAGGACACACACGTGATAACCACAAAAAAGTCCGCCACAGGATGACGCACCAAAGCACGAACCAGAGAAACGCCTTGGGGCAGTGTACATCGTGCAAAAGGGGGTTGTGTATACTATGGCTACTCTCAAGCTCGTATGTGCAAGGCACTTGCTGTGTGCAAAAATAAAACGCACACCGCAGCATCAGCAGCAACGAGAACGGCAGCGGTGGTTCTTTCTCGCGCGTCTGTGGACCAACCGCGGGAGGACCGATGCGGGTTGATGGAGTGTACCGCGATAACGGGCGAGCTCGATAGCCTGACAGGAGAAAAAAAGGACAACCGACCTACGCCCTTTCATCAGGAGATAAACCGAATACGTACTCATGCACATGCGCGCTTGTGCAACTTGTCACTTACGTTTCTGGCTCAAGTCCGTTCATGATGATTGTTTGAATGTGTGACGCCCGACGAATAAGTGTGGCAAAGGGGGGCGTGGGTGGGCGAAAGGGTCACAGGGCCGGCTCTTGTAATCTAGATATACTACTTTGTTTGCAACAAGCATCAGCAGTATCATACCAAATGAAGTACGGACGGCATAACTTGCATAATGAGTACAGAGTCGTGCCAACGATTGACTGATGACGGTCATACGTCGTCCCAACAACAACCAGTCCGTCCGGGCGGCTTTGATTGGCCATTGCTTGGTTCGAACGATGCAATACACAAGACAAGGGAGAGTGTGGAATAACCTAACCCTGTTCTCCCGCATTCCGCTGCCGGTTGTCTTGCTTGTTTGGACTACTGCCGTCTTCGGTCGGCTTTTCCATACTTTTTTGGGATTCCCACATGTGGGGGTTGAGGCGAGTTGTGTGCGATGCCACAAGCTCATCGATGCCACAACACTAGTAATAGACAATGCGAATAGGAGTGAGTGGAAATAAAAATATGGAACGGTCATGTTTGGCGTAGAGACGAGAGAGACGGTCAGTGCGTTCACTTCTGTTTCCGCCATCCCTTCCTCACAAGAGGTTGGGTGGGTAGGTTTTCTCACGCCTGCTAGGACGAAGAAGCTGTCATCCAAACCAGTACGCACGGACGTAGAGGGAGGGAAATACTAACATCTAGCCTGATGTAGCAATAGGGCATCATGTATCATCGTCGATCTTCCTTCAACCAAGGACTCCCGCAAAACTTCTCACTTCATTAAATGTACTGCTGTCACTCACTTTGCTCGCTCGTGCCGTCTTCCCAAGCACTGACGCTTGTATCAGGAACTCGAGCGAAGAAGGACGATCCGTTGTGAGAAAGCAACTTCTTCACGGGTACCTTGGCCTGTTCGGCCGTATCACGGCTACTGTCTGCAGTGTTTCGTGGCCGCATCCAGTCTGCCAACGTAGCACGCGGTGTTCGAAACGAAACTCTCAAAAGCAGCCCGCCTCCAGACGAAAGAATATACACCTTCGTTTGGCTAGGAAACGGACCCGGAGCGTGGCCTTCAGACCATCAACCACCCAGGACGCCAGACCCGACGCTGCTCTTGCTTAGGGCACCCGTCCCGTAACGGGCAAACCTTCTGATAGCCACGAGGAGAACTACGCCAGGTTCACGCACAGGAGCGACAAAACCTCTTGATTTCTGAGGTACGAATATGCCAGAAATGAGAAACTTGACACAAGGTCCAGGCGCGGCGCTCCTCGAAGGGTAGGTAGCTGTGTACGGTCGTGTACCTGTTGCTGTACGCGACCAGCGCTTAGACTAAACCCTCGAAACAAAACCCCGTTCCAAGGAGCAATGGAATTGACGACAAAGCAGCGCCTAGGTCTTGACGTCTCCACGGTTGGCTCATACGGCTAAGTGATGGCGCACCGGATGGCCCGCCAGAGACGACATGGTCGTCGCGTAGGGCAGTAAGCCCTGACGGCGGAAAGCTACTTCTGTACAAGCAATACGAAAGTGGTATTTAAAACAACCCTTGTTTGCTACCATACGAATACCTGGAAGGTAACGTACGGATGGTGACCCCCGGCAATCACAGCTTTCTTTGTACGCCCGCCAATTTAAAGTACTATTCGTTGTCCACGAAGCACGTGGAGCCAGGCAGTAGAAGACGCCGTGGTGAGAGTTAAGGAGGGGCACTTTTCATGGCAGGTGGTAGTTGTCCTGTCGCTAGCAAACGGGGGGTACCTCGTGACCCTTGCCCTTCTGAGCAGAGCGAAGAGGGAGCCAGAGAGCCAGGGAGAGAGAGAGAGTAGATCGAGTGACAGAAACAGAGAGCCAGAGAGGCAGAGCCAGAGACAGAGCCAGACAAACCATGGAAAGAAGGCCGGTAAAGAGGAGACAGTTAAGCTCGAATATTTTTTCTTACTTCGAAGTATTATTACCTATCTCTACGTACATGTGCATATCGTGTATTTTTTTGTGTCGACATATGGGCGCCCGATTTGTTTTTTCTCCGACACCTACGTATCCATCTCCTTATTGGGAGTTGTTCGGGGGGGGGGGGTACCGTTATTCTAATTCCTACAAAAAGAATAGGGGTCCCGCGGTTGGGAACCATTTTTTCCGCGGGATACCCCACGCACGAGCTAGCATCCCTTCTTGGGAACCCCGAAGTCATGATCACACAAATGGGAACGTAGCAGACCAAGAGAGCACCTACTCCACTACAACCCTGCGTGTCACGTCGTCACTTGTTGTACACGACATGTCGCACAAAAGCTACTTGCGTGCAGTGGGCTCTAAGCCCCATGAGAAGCAAAAAGTCGAAAACCTTTTTTCGGCCCTCCCNAATTGAGGCTCACTTTTTCACGAAAAATAAGAAAAACGGGTTAAGAAACATAGCTCAATCTGGGTCACACAACAAGAAATGTCTCAATAAGAAAGGAAGGGAGCGGGAGGCGCAAAAGGGTGACAACCCCCAATGTTCGCCTCACGGAGCTTGCAACATAATGACGGGGTAGTTTTCGTTGTTGGTACTTCAGCGTGCGGGTGAGGCATCATGAGGTGTTTACGCATTTGTTTAGTTTCAGCCCTCACTCATGAGGGGGGTACAGGACCTTGTAGCGATAGCGAGACGTTGCCGCTGGATACATTTCGCTTCTATCTAGGGAGTGGCCTTACGTGCAGCCGTCGGTAGTGAGAATTGGGGTTGAGTACGGGGGTCGAGGAAAGCAGTCCAAATCATTTGTATATTTTGAACGTTGTGTAGTATGCCAGCAGAGAAATAAGAATTGCCGATTTAAGAAATTCAGCAGGATTTGGCTGCACGAAAAAATACGAAACTTGAAATAAGAAACTGAACGACATACTACATAGGCTGAGTTTATAGCCCACAATAAGAATTCGAGGCTGGACCTGAAATAAGCGTTTCTTAACTGCGGGCGCCAACTGTATTGCCAGGTACCGCCGTAGCGAGCGGTGGCTCGAATGACAGCCCTATCAATCCTGCTATTTTCAGCCTGTTTTCCAGCCACATCATCAGTTGTCATGATACTGCTGTTGACACTCGTCGCCCATACGGAAAGTAGCAGACTAGACTAGATAGACTAGACGGCGGGAGCTACAAGAAGCACAACAACAGCGGATGCATACAGGACCTCCACTTTGCCTCCACCTCATTTTTGGTGAAGGCCGAGTCAAGACACTCATTTCCTTTCACACGGTGACTTGCTCAAGTACGGAGATCATCCTCAGGGAAGTTGTTGGTGCGCTCATCATTGATGAGGATGTGATACGGCGCGGTGTTGATAGAGTAAATATTTTATATACGTACCTGCAATAAAGAGTCTAGTTGATCCACCCGACGGACCCTCTATTTAGAAAATTAATAATTACCTACTGTTCGAGAAATATTATGCATCCCACGGTCGAATAGATGTGTTGAAGTATTTTGGGACTGGTGCTCGTTCGCACCTTCGCACCGTTTTCATCCCCATACAGAGTCTTGCGCAGGGATGGATATATATGCGCATGATATCAATCGTCCAAACACAGCGCTTCATGTTACGTCGGTTGAAGCGTTTCACCACACCACGAAAGACGTTTGCTGTAAGAAGAACTGCAAGAAGAACTTTGGAACTGTGTGTCGGCAAGGGACAACTCAGCGTGGTGTGGAGTGCAGTGCAGTGTGGAACAGAGCAAGTATGCATATGATGGAATATCAAAGGAATATGTATTTGGGGGCCCGCGGTTGCGAATCGCCGATCTTTGCTGTTCGGTCTCTACCGACCCTCTCACTCTATCTCATCCACCTATCTTTCGCTTTTGAGAAGACCGCTTATTCGAGTTTCTCGCCTATTGACCACGAAGAAGAATCTCGGCCCCCTGTTCAGCCTCCCAGGGGCAACCCGACGACACTACAATGATTGGTTGCGGCGGCGACATCGACACAGACCGACAGCCCAAGCGCTGCCAAGCGACACACGAGGCTCCGCGGTTGACAGATACCATGTGCATATTTTTTTAAATATATCCCCGTCGAGTCTCCTACGCGAACCCCCCTCTATGTCGCCGAGGTCGCCGCAGGCCGCAGGGCGCGTAGATCATCTGTCTGTGCTCCGCTGCTGCGTCCATTGCCTATCTAGCTTGTTGCTCTCTTCTTACGTCCTGTCTGTTAAACTTTGAGGAGGTCTTCATTACGTTAGGTAAAAAGGAGAATGCAACCTCGGACTTGGCCTGGTTGACCCTCAGAAATACAGCAGGCGAGCTGCGAGACGGCAACACGGCCCATCACCGGAAGATAGCACACCGACAGCGAGAGCACAGGCTCGCAGCACAACCACCACACCAGTAGCAGCTGAACGCCGTAGAGCACCCAGCCGCAGCAGTAGCAGCAATAAGAAACGCTCATCACGAACGGCAGTTCCTGCACTCGTTGGCGTACTACATACTGAGCAGCTGCACTCTGGTGCTACACAGCGAGCATCGGGCAGTGGAACATCATCGCGTCCTGCTGCTAACATGACGTCCACCGCAATCTACACGTGCTACCGGCAGCTGCACCCGCCGACAGGGGTCGACCACGCCGCCTTCGGCAGCGTCACCGCCGCCGGTTCCCGCGACTTGGTCGTCGCGAAGGCCTCCACCCTCGAATTGTACCGCGTGCATCGGGACGACCACAGCGCCACTGCCACAGCAGCAGCGGCAAGGGAAACGAGCAACGGCGATGAGAGAGATGACGACGATGCAAGCGGCTACTACCTCGAGCTGGCGGGCACCTTTCCTCTGGCAGGAAACATCACCGCCCTCGCCACCATCCCCGTGCCAACGAGTGCTTCTGCCACCACGACGCAGCAACAACAACAGCAGCAGCAGCAGCAGCAGCAGGACATCCTGGTAGTCTCCTTCGGCATCGCAAAGATGGCCCTCGTGGCGTACGACTCCGTCCTCGGCCGCCTGGAGACCATCTCCATCCACAACTTCGACGCAGGCGCGATTGGCCCCGGCGCCGCCGGGGTCGAGTCCGGTTACGGCCTCGCCGCCGCCCTGAAGGACCGACCCAGGACCATCTCCTCCAGCGACCCGGCCGGCCGCTGCCTGGCGGCGGTCGTGGCCGGCTGCCAGCTAGTCGTCCTCCCCGCCCGGCGGCACGTACCCGGCTCCGTCTTCGTGAGCGAGGAGGCCAGGCGGCGGCAGCGGCGGGTCGTACGGCTCCGCCGGCGCGCAGCGGTAGCGGCGCGAAGAAACAACGGAGCGGCGGCAGAGAGTGCTGGCGGTACGGTCGGTGGTGTTGGCGATGGGAGCGACGACGACGACGACGACGACGACGACGACAGCGTGAGCGCGAGGGAGAGCGATTCCGAGCGGGAGGAGGACGGGGGGCTGGGGAACGTGGCGAATGCGAAGGGTGGCGGCGGCTCGGGGGGGAACTTGGCGGTGTCGAAGCCTTTTACAATAGACCTAGAAGAGGCAGGCTTTACCGGGTGAGAGGGCGCTATGTATGCCCTGATCACATTCCTCCTTGTACATATACCTGACGTGCCCAACCAGGCAGCACCCGGCCACCTTGTACATAGCTGATATTGCTTCTCCAACGACTTGGCTCTCTGGCGGCGCATGCACTTGTATCTCGCCCTCTCCCGACATTTTCTTTTATGTAGCTTGCCTGGCGATGCGCACACTGACGGCTGTGCTCGTCTTTGCTCCTTTGGCTGGACAGGTTCATCAAGGCTGCTGCCTTCCTCGAAGGGTTCCACGAGCCGGCGCTGGCGTTGCTGTACGAGCCGATCCAGACGTGCGCGGGCCGGTTAGCGTCGAAGCGATCGACTTGCAGGCTGGCCTTGCTATCGATCAACTTAACGCAGGTGGTTGCTTTCTTCCCAAGTCGATACGTGGGGCCAACGTTTTCTTTGTTGGGATTCACCGTAGATGACGACGATGTCCTCTCCGGAACTACTTTGAATCGTTCGTTCCTGCACATGACCTGCCTCGCCATTTTCCGCTTGGTCAACCACGAAGCATTTTCTACCCAAGATCTCCCCGGCCAAACATGTTCCGGGCTTTCTCTGTCGCTGATAGCGATATCTTCTGTACTTTGTACGTTTGCTACGTTGGGCGGTGCTGCTCTTCTTTCAGGGCCGGGCGCCGGTGATATGGCAGGTGGAGAACCTGCCCCACGACAGCTGGGACTTGGTACCAGTGCCCTCGCCGATAGGGGGACTGCAGGTGAGCAACACTACCGCTGTCACGAATAGCACGCTCGAGTCCCGCCTCGCAGCTGCAGAGGTAGTTGTCAAGACACCAGGAAACACACCACCACCAGCAGCAGCACGTAGATGCCAGCGCTCCAGAAGTAAAACAAGGAATGTGCTTGTTTTGAGAGAAAAGAGTGTCGAGTACCCGCTTCCCTCAAGCGGACGCTGAGTAATTTCACGTACATGCTGCCTGAGCACGATGATGCCTATTGTGTTGATCTTCGCGCCTCACTCACCGACTGGAGCCGCACCCCGTCCCTTCAAGGTGATTTCGACGAACGCCGTGATGCACGTCAACCAGTCAGAGGTGCGGTCCATACTCGCCGTGAACGGCTACGCGAGGGCCACAGTGGACCCGGCTCTACTCGAGTGTCCTCTGAGGGGAGGTGACAGCGACTGGGGATGGACGTCTTTCCGGTGAGGGACGAGTAGCGGTAGCTGGGCCCCCCACCGGGGCGTTTTCAGATGGTATGCACTGCTTTTTTTTCTTGTGGGCGCGTCGAAGGGATTTCAGCCCGCTGAATTGCTTTTGGCGACCTCAGGAACTCTGATATTTCGTGCAACTTGTGTTTTGTGATGAGGAATGTTGGAAGTGGTGTTTGCTTCAGGGTGATTCCGCGCTTTGTTCGTGTGGCACGTCTTTCTCGCAGCCTGCTCAAGAGGTTCAGCTTTTCAGACAATGCTCAAGACTGTGTCCTTTGGGATATTTGATGTATGCCCACGTTCAAAATTACCTCAGCAGTCACGCCCTCAGCACCATTCCAGTTACTCTTCCTCCGTACGGAGGTCGGTCAGTACTCAAGCCTGAGCCCGCCTTCGAAGTATAGCTGAGAACTCTCTGAAATTCAGTTCGGGAGGTTTCGGACGTGGCTGAGAAACGGGTAAGAGTAAGATTGTCGCGAGAGTGATGTTTGATTTCAGCGGGAAGGTTTGCGCATTCGTGACGGGCGCTTTTCGAGAGACTCGAATCGGAAAGCGAGACACTGGCCCTGCGCCCAAGCTCCTACTCTCACCATCTTCAATTCTGTCGACCCTTACCCCCCCCCCTTCTGTCCGTCTGCGTACCCCCCCAGACGCTCCCACCCCGAGAGAGAGGTGGTGGACCTCAGCTCGTACGACGTGTGCATCGAGCTCGACGTCGTGCGTTGCGCCTTCCTGACGCCCACGTCGATGCTGCTCTCCCTTCGCACCGGCGAGGTCTACGCCCTCCGCCTTCACCTGACTACCGGCAAAGCCACCCCCGCCGCTGGTGGGGGGAGCCGGCCCCCCGGAGGCGCGGCCTTCGGTACGCCTAACCGCGTCGTGGGGCAGTCCATGCGCCCCGTCGGGAGGGCCTCGCCTTGCTCCGTTCTCGCGGTGGCGGCGAGCGGCGGCAGTGGCGGCGGCGGCGGGAGCAGCGCTTCGAAGGGTCTGGTGTTCATGGGGTCTAGAGTGGGCGATTCGCTCCTGGTGGATTACTCCGTGGCCAGCGCGGGCACGCGGCCCGGTGGGAAGGGTGTACCGGTGCCGAAGCGCGAGCCGAAAGCAGAGGAGCAGGACGAGAAGGAGGAGGAGGACGATGCTGACCAGACGGAGGGTGCGCCTGCCGCCCGTTCTTCTTCGACCACCGGCGAGAAAGCGGCGGCGGGAGGCGCCGCCGTAGGGGAACAGGGCGAGACGTCGTCGGGCGGCGCTGCGGCAGCGGCATCAGCAGCCGGGGCCGGCGCCACCGTTAAGGAGGAGATGACTGAGGGAAGGGGGGAAAGCCTGGCTGGGATGCAGGTCGATGCGAATGTGGGTAGCGAGGACGGCAGCGCTGCCAAGTCCACGAGGAGTCCCGGCGGCGACGGCAAGAAGGTAACGGGCGATGGCGATGACGGTGGGCAGCCTTCCGCGACCACCGAGACATCTGGCGACGGTGCCGAGGTTGCCGAGGGGTCCGGGGCGGTGACTTCCCCATCGGTCCAGAACGGAAGCGATGGCAGCCCTGACCCTCAAGCGGCAACGCCGACCACGCAGGAGGCGGCGGGGGCGCTATCATCATCCCCGCAGCCCGGTGACGGGGAAGAAGCAGGAGAGGGGAAAGGCGCGGGGTCGAGGGGAGGCAGCGCGAAACGAGGTCGCGCGGAGCGGCCATCCTCCGGCGGGGACGTCGGTGCGGGGGACAACGGCGGGCAGCCGGACAATAAGAGGTGTAGAGTGTCCGCTTGTGGGGACGGCGAGGATGGTGTCACCTCGTCGAGGGAGGCGGTCCCGGCCACAGAGGAAACTACGGCAACGGCAGCAGCAGCAGCAGCAGCAGACGGTGCTTCTGCTGCTACCGCCGTTGGAGGGGAGGAGAGTGCGGAAGCGCTAGGTAACGGGGTGGCAGCTCCGGCCGTATCGTCGGAGAGCGAACGTCCTGCAGCGGCAGACGACGCGGTTGATGCGACGCCGCCGCCGCCAACCACCGCTCCGGCTGTCCCGCTCAGCAAGGAAGAGCAGGAGATGATCGAGGAGGAGGAGCAGCTGTATGGGGCGAGAATAGGAGATTCTGCTTCAGACGGGGCTGACGGTAGCGGCGGCGAGGCCGCTCTCGCCCGGCTGGGATCCAAGGATGGGGAGCGGGTCATAGAATCGGTTGGCTTCCGGTTGAAGGTGAGAGGTAGGGGGGGCACGGTGTTTGGAACGGCCGGCAACGCTACTGGAGCACCGCGGCCTTTCTTTTTCGGTTGTAGTTGGCAGTAGAAAGTTTTCCCACCGCACCGACGGGTTAAACGCATACGGCCTTCATAAAAGTTGCTCGAGGACGAGCGGACTCATTTGGATGACAAGTCGATCCCGCTCCAAGTACCCTTCATTTTCTTCTACCCCGGCGGGACATCTCTCCCAACCCCACCTACCCCTCGGGGCGATCGCTTCTGGCCCACTCTGTTCCGTGTTTCATGCGGACATCAGGTGGTAGACTCCATCTGTACGCTTGGCCCCATCGTGGATGCGGCCCTTGTGCCGTCCGCGTATCACGTCCCCAAGACCACGAAACTCGCCGGTAGCGGCGGCGGTAGCCGTTCTCGTGGTGGTCATGGAGGCAGAGGGTCGGGGCCAAACGGAGCGGCGACGGCGGCAGCGGCGGGCGGAGGTACATCCGGGGGTGGTATCCGTACGAGCTTGGTGTGTGCGGCCGGTTACGGGGGGCAAGGGTCGCTTGCGGTTTTCTCTGCTGGGCTTCGAACAGAGGTGACGTTTGCTGTTGCTGCTGCTGTTTTGTTGTTGTTTCTGTTGGTGTTGATGTCTGGGGCTGTTTGTTGTCTTCTCGAAAAATTCCGGTCATGTCTTGGGAGCAGCAGACCAGCTTCCTTTGGAGCTGGGTATTGCAAAGGGGAAGGGTGCATGGGAATATTTCGGCAGAGCACCGAAGGCAGATACGCTCCACCCCTTGCCTTCCACGCAATCATTACGTTCGCATTTTCTTTGTTTCCATGGAGCGCTCCGTGTCTACGGCCATGATTCTGTAGCAGCAACTCCAAGAGTAAACCACACCCCACACGCAGTGTGGATTGTGGCTGTAGGGTGCTGTTGCCATGCTTGACAGAAGCATCGCCTTCTCCCAAGAACACCTCAAACCGTGTTGCTATCTGTGTCCAGGAGATTGGATTTGTCACATTGTGGAAGAAAATAGGAAGTCTAACGTGTTGGTCTCTCCGAGGGTTCTTGGACGGGGGGGGGCGTGGACACTCTGCACGTAAGCATTGCATGCTCCCCTCGTTTTCTTCCCAGCTCTACAGAATTGTCAAGAACCGAAATCAGCAACAGCCCTAAACCAATATCTCGGTGATACTGCACACCCAACCCTCGCCACTTCCCCGGCCCTGCACCCAAGGTGGTCGTCGAGCTGTCCGTGCCGGGCGCGACGGGTGTCTACAGCTCGTCGGAAGGTGGCGGAGTTGGCGGGGGGGCCGTGGGGGGGAACAAGCGAGACACCCTCATTCTGGTGTCCTGTTCTGCGTCGCCCCCGGCAGCAGCAAGAGCGGCGGCCGCTAGAGGCGACACCCGCCCGGGCCACACGCGGGTGCTCGCTTTCGAGGAGGATGCTAAGGTTAGTTATTGTAGACTTTGCCAGTGCCTCTAGTGTGGATGATGCAGTCGCTAACGCCGAAGCTCCGAAAGCTGTCTGTTTTGACGAGTGACGGTATTCGAGGCCTTGTCTGTTGGTGTGTGTGTGTGTGTGTTTTTTTTTTTTAAACCCACCCAGGCTTTTGTGGATCTTGTCGGCTATGAAAAAGACGCGTGTTGGAGACTTGAGCGCCACGAATGTGACGCAGGAGAAAAACGTTGGAGAAAAACAGCTCCTAATAGCAGAGGTTAGAGGGGAAATTGTTTGAGTTGACAGGCGTGGTGTTGAAGTCAGGGGATGATTCCCAAGCGTCCCCTGGTTACCGTTGGAGTATTGTTGTGCACCAGGCCCTTCCTATGGTATTGGGCTAACAAATAATACTTCATATCATACCATAGCCCATTTTTCCAAACGTGAAATATTCCGAGGAACTGACTGGTATGTATGCGTCCAGTTTTACACGGACTACAAAGACGACGCCGGTTGAGTTTTTTTTGTTTCTTTCGGTACTGGGTCACGTCTTGTGCATTCCCCACTTTTGTCGCTTGTGAAGCAATAAGTGATACACGGAAATTCCGTTGAAATTTCGCATGTATTCCCGTGCAGACGTCGCGGTTCGCGGTTCGCGGTTTGGTTCCGTCGTCCGACCCGTCCCGTACCGGCCCGTTGGACTTGACCCGGCGCCGGCACGTAGGGGTCCCCGCATAATTGACGACGGCATCGAACGTCGATTCGGCGTCACCCCTGACGGACACGCGCGCACTTCGTTTGGGTGTTTCGTCGTGGTATTTTTCCGGTTATTTCACCGTACCGTGTACCGTGCAGGTGGTGGAGCTGCCGGAGGGGGACGGGAACCCGTTCGTGTGCGACGCGGCGACCGCGGATGTGTGCTCGATGGCGGGGGGTACGGTTGTTCAGGCACACAAGCAGGTGGCCGACCGGGGCGGGTGTTGGTGTCGTTGACGAAACGGTTGGGAGGGAGACGGGCGGTAGGAGTTGTTATTTTGGGGGGGGTGCACGTAGGATAAGCTCTGTCCGCTGATTCGTTGTGCGGTTGTGTGTTGTTTATGGTTGGTGTTCGTCGTATATGTTGCCGCAGTTGTAAACCCACATGCAACTCCAACACTCCCCTCCTCGCCCCATTAAACCAATAACACAGGGCCTCCGGGTAACCCGCAATCGAGAACCGGTACAAGACGTGCTCGCTTCCGAGGATCCCGACCTAGGCGGGCTAGGGGCAGACGCCGGTGTCACTGTCTTGAGAGCCGCCGCAGCAGGGTCTCACGCCTGCTGTCTCTTGTCCAATCTCCGGCTTCATCTCATGGCCCTCGACGATGGGGACCTGATGCCCGTTGGCTCTGTAGAGGAAGCGGGGGAGGAGGGGGAAGGTGGCTGTGGTATTTGGGAGGAGGTCGAGGCTGTCTGCATGTTTGGGGTTCAGGTGCGTTTTGGCGGCGCGTGGTGGATTTGGTTTTTCGCTGCTGGCACGGCGGGATGACAGTGTGTGGTCTGGTTTGATGCCCGCCTTGGAGGGGTCCGTCCGTAAATGAGTTGGGTTTGCCGGGTACTTTTTTCGTTAAATTTCCGCGAGTTCATGGAACTCTTGCCTGCCAATTATGGCACGCTTACACCCAAGACCAGCTGTGTATCGATGCAAGGTTGTAGGTTATGGATTAACCGTGAGTCAGGCTGCGAGTTGACGTTGTGCTCGAGGTCCCCTGCTTTTCCGGCTGAGACCCTTCTGCTTTTTGTCGGGTGCTGATGGTTCTCCAGGCCATGGCCTCCCCTCTCACGACGCAACTCGTCATGTTCGGTCCGCTCTCGTTTCTGTGCGTGTCTACGGTCCCCCCCCCTCCCCCCAGGAACCAATGGCAGGCCCCCCTTCGAGAGCAGTTGCGCCGGCTTCCGCCGCGGCAAGTAGCAGCGAAGTCAACGGCAGCAGCAGTAGCGGGGGCACCAGCCGCGTCGGACTGTTCTTGGAGAGAACGAGAGACGAGTCACGCGAGGAGGAAGAGGAGGAGGAGGAGGAGGAGGAGGAGGAGGAAGACCTAGGGGCCGGCGTCCTTGACGACGAAGGCGAGGACGACTACGACGACGACGGTGGCAAGGGCGGCGGGTACGACTCCGAGGAGGAGGAATGGGCCGCTCTCTACAGTGCGGAGCCCGGTAGGGGTATCCTTAACCCCTGCGCCAACGGCGGCGGCGGCGGCGGCGGCGGCGGCCAGATCTCCGGCGCCACTGCTGCTGCTTCCGGTTCGTCGAATGGTATGCCCGCTGCCGGGGGGGGCGCAAGTGGGCGGGAAGTGGGTTCGGTCGGGGAACAGTCTCCGGAACGGTGCGAGGAGGAGGACCTCCCGGCGCAGAAGGGTTGGTGGGGGGGTTCCTCGTGGGGAGAGGCGGGTGGTTCTCGTTCGGAACCAGCTGCCCCCGGTCACGACGGCGAAGAAGCTGGTTCTTCGAACGGCGAAGCGCGCGACGAGCACGTAAGTGCGTATATGGTCGTGTGTCGGAGGGGGGGCACCGTGGAGATATTCTCGTGCGAGGGGGAGGGTGCGGACGAGACCAGGGCGCGCCCGGTGTTCCGAGCGACAGGCGCTGCGCTCGCGCCGCCCACGTTGTGGAACGAGCTGCTGTTGCCCCCAGCGGTTGCGGCAGCGGCGGCAGCATCGGATGATGATGAGGAGGAGGAAGGGTCGTCTTTGGCCAACGGCGGTGGACGGAGGTCCGACGGGGACCGTTCTCCGATGAATGACGATGTTGAGGAGGAGGAAGCGGCGGGTGGTCTAGCGGTGGCCACTGGCATTATCCTGGCCAACGGCCGGAGAGGCGCGGCGGGGAGAGGGAGTGGGAAGAAAGTCGATGGCGAAGCTAACGGCGATGGCGCGGCGGCGCCGCCGTCCGACCCCATGGAGGTAGACGACGGTGCTACTGCGCCCGACTCTGCCGCCGCCGCTAGTGCCTCCGGCGAGGCACCGGCGGCCCCTGACGGGACTGTCGAAAAGGCCAGGGCGGATGCCGGCGGCGCGGAGACGGCGGCGGCGGCGGAGGAAGAAGATGGCGTTGTGTGCCCGACCGTGACGGACGTTATCGTACACCCCGTCGGTGCCGTCGGCGGCCCTCCCGAGCTGCGGCGGCTGGTGCTCGCGATGCACCTGGATAACGGGAGCCTGCTCGTGTACGAGGCCCGGATGGTGGTTTCGGCCTTGGCTGCGTTTGGGGGCCGTGAGCAGGTGTGTGCGTTTTTGTTAGCACCGACCGCGCTAACCGGCTGGCGAATGAAAATTCGATACGGTCGGAGTGCGGTTGAACACAGCTTTTTTTGCCAAGGCCCCCCGTGAGGTGTGGGGGCGCCATGAGGGAGGTTAAGCTACTCTCCGCATTTTTAATACAGAAACGGTAGCAACAGAAGAAACACGTGTCTACCAAGGCTGATTTAATACTTTGCACGAGTGTCCTTTGCGGATCCTTTCGCATGTGCTTGCTGCTTTCGTCAGTGTGTGGTGGGGTTGGTTGCTAGAAAGAAAGAGTGCGGTGGAACGTGCTCGCTTTTGTGGGGAACGACCGACCTCTAGATTCGTTCGCGACTTACTTGTCTCGTCTTGAGTCACGCGGTACTTGTGGGGACTCCTCCTGTCGTCCTCTCAGGGGTGAAGATGGAAGCACGGCCAACATGTGCGTTGCTGGCGCTCGTCCTTTATTTTTCTCACGCTTCGTCAAACGTCCCACCCATCTGTACGTCTTCCCCAGCAGGCTCCTTGACATGTCTTGAATTGCCCCCCCTCCCGCCCACACAAGCTTGATCCTCTCGAGGACGCGTTGGCCAATGGTCCAACCGCTCAGGCATGCCCGCCCCCCCGCCCCCCCGCCCCCGGCCCACATAACAGGTTGTCTGCTTCTCGAAGCTCTGCCACGACCTCATCACCCGCCCCGTCAAGGGAGTTCCGCCGGAGGCGGCGCTGTTCGACCCGGGGAGGGGGCGCGCCCTGAGGGGCGTTAGAGCTGCGGCTGGTCAGGAGGGGGTCTGCTTTGCTCGACCGGGCTGCCGGTCTGCCTTGGTCAGTTTTCGTGTGTTTATGTGTTCCTTTTTCTTTGGGCAGCGTTTCGTTTTTGATATGTTTTTGATATTTTTTTTTGGTCGGTGTTTTTTTTTCTTTAGTCAGTTGTTTCAGGTTAGACGTGCTGGGTTGTTTGCTGCGCTGTCGTCGCCTTCGTTGTAAGTGGTTCGGGTGTGTGTTGCGTAATATTGCGACGCGAGAGACTGATACTGTTTCAGCCATGGTTGATCACTTGTATTGCACCGACACCCCGTCGCCACAGCCACTACAAATGGTCCTGCGTATCCCCCATCGCCGCTGCCGCCACCAATAATCAGGAGTGCCCCCCCCCCTCCCCCCGCCTCTTAATATTCTGTACAGATTCTCGCCGAAAGAGGGGCGGTGTGCGTGTCCGCCATTGCCCAGGACGACCTCGGAGACGGCTCCGGTGCCCCCCCTCTCCCCCCCGGTGCCCCTCCCTCTTGGGCGGGAATAGGCCTCGGCTCTCTCGCCCCGCTCTACAACCCGGACGCTTTCCCGGGAGGGGGGGGTGGCGGATTCGCCGGGGTCACGGCGGGCGGCGGGCGGATTCGTTTCATCTCGGCGGCCCCGGCGGCGTCGCAGCTTGTAAATCCGGGGACGAGCGGGGGGGGAGGTCTCGGCGGCGGGGGGCAGGGGCACTTCGTTGCTGAGAAGGTGAGGTGGCGAGGTGGCAGTCAGGGGGGTTATTGCCTTGTTGGACGCCTCAGTCCTGAGCATGTGTGGCTACCGAGATGGGCGTTGGCGAGGGGTGGGGGTGCTCGGTGGCTGTTGTTCGTGGCTGTAATCCTCGCACCTTGGGGCGGAGAAAACTGGCCCGTTACAAATGCGTGCATTTTTCTGCCGTAAGGACACCAATCTCGGATGAAACCCTCTCGGCGACCAGCTTTGGCGGATACGTGCTATTACGCCTACCCTGATGTGTGTGAGTCGTACAACAGGGTATCGCCACTCTTTTTTTCCAGTCTGCGATTAACAACCACCTGTCCATACGACGACATTGCTCCGATGCGTGGGTCGTCCAGCAGTTTCGCGCCACTCTTTATTTTCTTCTTACGATCCGTTGTTCCGTAAATCTTACAGTATTGTAGCGCAACTCTTAATTCTCCTGTCAACGATTAACATGCATCCAAAGGCTAACAAGTCTATACGATCTGCCCTGACGTGTGTGACTTTGGCGCCACTTTTTTTTCCTGTCCAATATTCACTTGCCAATACGATCTGCCCCGATGCGCGCGAGGGTGGCGCCACTTTTGTTTACTGTCTATGATTAACGGCCACTTATTCCGCCGCCGCCGCCGACAACAGTAACCAAGGTTCTCGCCCGTACGATACCTCGTCGCCGTTTGCCGGAAATGCAGGTCAGGCTCGGGGCGACGGTGCACGGCCTGGTGCACCTCCCGCATGATCTGGCTCACGCGGGCAAGACCGGGGACATCCTGAAGCAGCTCTTGAGGGCGAGGGGCCACTACGTGGCGCTTGTCTCGACTATGGAGGATGCCCTTGTGGCACAGCCTAAGGTATGTGGGGGGCTGTTCAGTGCCGGTTGGAATAGTGCCGTTGAACGGAATATTGCCGATCAAATCTCTGGGCACATACCGGCGCTACACAGCCCCCCCTACTGTACTGGTGTTTGTGTAGGTGTCTGACGCGCAGTTTGGAAAATAGTGAGGAACGCCCACTGTTGTTGCCTTCTGTCGTAGGACCTACGCCCTCCCTCCCCTACGCCCTCTTTCCTACATGACAAAGCTCTTTCTCCCAGATACATGAGAGTTTGTTTTGTGTTTCGGAAAGGGTGCTTGATTGATTCCCTACGGTTTTACTCGCTGCTTGCGGAAGCAGCAATGCCGTCCTAGCAAGACGTGTGAAAGTTGTTTCACGCCAAGATGAGGACACTGCTCCTGTCAAGTCAAGGCCGTACTGAGATTCTGCATACTTTAGCCGCCTTCGTAGATTGACGAACGTTGTTCTTGAAGCAGCCTGCCGCTACTTGCGACATTCGATCGAACTCTGTTTCTTATTTCACACATGTTTTTCCTGGCGTTCGTGTCCTGCGGTTTAAACATGTGACGTTTCCACGAGTGTCCTCCTGGGCAGATGTGGCAAAAGAACAAAGAATAGCAGTGGGGCTGGCGGTGCGATTCGAAGCACGCGCGATCAACTTGGCAAGCCTACTGCGATGTCTCTACTCACCACTTCACTCCGGTTGTATGCGAGATTTTCGTTTTTCTTCATCATCCCTTCATCTCACCTCTCGTCGTTTTGTTTATGTAGAAATGACGAGATTCTCCTGCCGGCGCAGGAAGCCTCACCCACATCCATGACTACATTGAATGATCCTCGAGAAGGAGACATAATACACAGAGATTTTGTTCACGCTGTTTGTGCGGAAGTGCCCCTTGAAAGGCCCCATCTACCCAATGTCCGTCGAGAGCGAACCCAAACCCAAACTAGAACTGTATCAATCATCGTGTTGCGTTTCTTTTTTATGTGTATCGTGGTATTCTGTAGTCGGGACTCAAGGAAGGAGAGGAAGGGGAGCAGGGGGACGGGGATGATGACGAGGAGGAAGAGGCGGCGGGATTGCTGGACCGGCATACCGTCAAGCACAAGGTAGGTAACTTGCTCGATCGATGTGGAAGTAGATGTGATGAAAGCGCCATGGAACAATATGTAATTGAACGGTATGATAGCGAGAGTAGCGGCATGTAATAACATAGACATATCTTGGAATGAAAAGGCATGGTATGAGTGTCACGGCATGTACCAACACCATGGAAAATATGGAATAACACAGCGGAGCAACACCACACGAATCGGAACTTTCCGCACCATGAAACCGTCAAACGCGAGACATGGTAGAAGGGAGCAGTCACCGGAAGCGCAAGAAGTATGGCGGACAAGTAGTAGCATAATACCGTCAAGCACGAAAGATGGAACGTACCGTGTGTGCCATAGACTATGGCTTGTAACAGTTTGGGATTCTCGTTGACAGTGGTGGGATGCTCTTGACGAGCGGCGTAAGCGAAACGATGTGCCTCCCTTGGCTTCTGTTATTCCGTTGCTTGTCTAGGCTAACCACGTACTACAGCGGTGTTGGTGGTCGTAACCACAGCAATGTGCGGCCACTCATCAGAGGAACAGGCATTGGACAACCCCCGATGTTGCGTACGTGCAGTATTCAGAGAGGAAAAATAGCTTTAGGGCCGCTTACTGGAGACTTGATTCCGGTTTTAAAGAAGATTGCCGCGTATTCGGTGGTCCAAACGAACGGCCCAAGATTTATATATTGCTACAAGTCATCATGAGGGGAGCCGCAAAAAGGGACATAAGCAAAACGAGTGTACCCCCTCCCCCCTGCCGACTAGGGACGGAAGCAAGGTCTTGAGTCTGAGGGTTAAGAGTGTGCACGATATTGCGTAGCCCCCTTTTGCCTTGCTCCCCAAGTACCCCGCCCCGAACGAAACTTCCGGGCAACGCTCGACGACTTAGGCAAGCAACAACCCACTCACCCCGATCTCCACCGCTTGCAGAACTGGACGGTGGCTGACCCCAGCCTAGGTGGCGCGCCCCCGCTCCTTGTCCCGAGATTCGAGCTGCGCGTGCTAGCTCTAGCGCCCGGAGCGGCATCAGCAGGAGCAGCAGCGACGTCTTCATCATCGGCAGCAAGAAGCCCTTCCTCTGCTAACGACAAGAGTGGCGGTGGTGGCGAAGCCCCCGAAGAGGGGGAGGGGGAACGGAGCGGGGGAAGGGGACAGGATGGAAGCGTCCCCGGTAGTGAGGCGGAGGCGTTAATGTTGTCGGCGGCGGTGGTGGAGTCTCACCCGATGGACTCGGACGAGAACGGGGTTTGCATGACCCTGGTGAGGCTGGAGCAAGGGGGGGCTCCGCGGATGTACGTGGCGGTGGGGACGGGAATGAACGAGCCGCAGGGGGAGGACAAGGCGGTGAGTTTGTCTGCTAACGGTGCTCGTCCGATTGTTTTTATGATTGAGCTTGTTTTGATGATGTGATGTTTGTGGCGTATGGCAAGTACGCGGGCGCAGCATTTGTTTCCGCGACACCAGTAGTATCAAACTGAACCAATATTCCACTTGGGGGTGCATTCGTCGTGTGATGTACAGCCGTCGTTTGGAGGGCTGATACATCTGAAGAACGCCATTCATTTTTGACAACGTTTCAGCTCAAACCAAATGAAAACCTTTTGTTTGATTTCTGGCTTGTACACGAGAGAAGGTGACTCGACACCCTGCCCGCTTGATAGTCTCATTCCCTCTCTTCCACTTTTCACTGTCTTGCAGCACAACAAGGTAATACATTTTTTTTTAATTATGCAACTTGTACATGTAGAGGCGAGAGGACGCCTGGACACCATGCCTGCTTGATTTCATTCTCCCCAATTTTTTGCAACGTTGCAGCGCATCCAAGACAAATACCATACATATATTTTTTTGCTTGTACAGGCGACAGACACTTCTTGACGCCTTAACCTGCTTGATATGTTTGTCTCATCCACTCTGTCCCACGTTTCACTATTTGCAGCACAGCATTAATGAAAGATCATGTTTACAATATGTTTTTGGTTGTACAATGCGACAGGGCGACTTGACACCTTTGTCCACTTGATGCTCTTATTCACTTTCTCCCAATTTTCATCACGTTTCAGCACAACCGCTATACGGCGACAGACGGTTTCTCGTCAACAAGTCCAAAGCAGTTTTTTTTTCTCTTGTACAGGCGAGAGGGAGACTTCTCCTGTTTGAGGTGGACTACGCCTACCTGGCGAGGGAGGACGGTAAGCACGAGCATGCCGTCAAGCTGCGCCAGGTCTTCGCAAAGGAGCAGCTCGGGCCCGTGTCGGGGGAGGTGAGTTAACCCTCCTTAACCCTCCCCAAGTGTTTTCGCCTTTGTGCTGGTAGTTGTCATCGTTTGTGGATGATGATGGCAGTGGTCCATATTTTTCCCTTTTCGTTTGAGTTCAGTGTTTTCCCTACGTGTTTAGCGTTGTGCTGGTAGTTGTCATCGTTTGTGGATGATGATGGCAGTGGTCCATATTTTTCCCTTTTCGTTTGAGTTCAGTGTTTTCCCTACGTGTTTAGCATTTTTCCCTTTCCGTTGAGTTCAGTGTTTTCCCTACCTTTTTAGCATTTTTCCCTTTTCGTTGAGTTCAGTGTTTTCCCTACGTGTTTAGCATTTTTCCCTTTCCGTTGAGTTCAGTGTTTTCCCTACCTTTTTAGCATTTTTCCCTTTTCGTTGAGTTCAGTGTTTTCCCTACGTGTTTAGCATTTTTCCCTTTCCGTTGAGTTCAGTGTTTTCCCTACCTTTTTAGCATTTTTCCCTTTTCGTTGAGTTCAGTGTTTTCCCTACGTGTTTAGCATTTTTCCCTTTCCGTTGAGTTCAGTGTTTTCCCTACCTTTTTAGCATTTTTCCCTTTTCGTTGAGTTCAGTGTTTTCCCTACGTGTTTAGCATTTTTCCCTTTTCCTTGAGTTCAGTGTTTTCCCTACGTGTTTAGCGTTGTGCTGGTAGTTGTCATCGTTTGTGGATGATGATGGCAGTGGTCCATATTTTTCCCTTTTCGTTGAGTTCAGTGTTTTCCCTGCGTGTTTAGCGTTGTGCTGGTATGGTCGTCGTGGTTGCTGTGGATGATGATGACGGTGGTGAGTTGATCAATCTTTTTTCCTTTTTCGATGAACGAGTTTATCCCACAGTGTTTCGCTTCGAGCTGGTCGTTGTCGTCCTCAGTGGATGATGATGATGACGGTGGTGACCATTAATTTTCCTTTGTTGACTCACGTAGTTCATACGGTTATCCCAGCAGCGCTCGTTCGGTTTTCACGCACCGGAGACAATAGGAAATCCTAACCCTGTCGTTGGCGAACTCAATCTTCCGCCTTCCACGAAAACAAATTGTTGGGATATGGTAAATGTGTTTTTTGTCATTGGGTGCGACCGCGGAAACGGTCTCACCAGTAGCCTTATCTTGTTTCTCGTTTCCTCCGTTCGTTCTCCTTCTCCATTACTCCTTTTTGCCAAGTCTCTCTCGTTCGGTCACACTTTTAATCCCAACGCATTTGGGTTTTTGACTAAACAGACCAGCAGTTCGCCCTTGTGCCCTTGTTTTGTTGGTGTCCTTTTGCTGAATGTTTTGTCGCCAATCTCCCCCCCCCCCCCGTTTTTTTTATTCTTTTCACTTGGCAGTCTGGTCCTGTGTCGGCAGTGGCGCAGCTTGGCCGTCATCTCATCCTCAGCGTCGGAAAGAAGGTTATCGTAAACAGGCGAGGAAATTATCTTTTTCGCCGCAGGATTATCAACTGCGATATCTAAGTGGCATTCCTGGCATTCGTGAGCATATGTTCGTGGGAGCGGTTTTCTTTTTTTTGTGTGACCTCCACGTGTGGCTGCCGTGGTATGATACTGCACAGCAACCACCATGCTACATTGCTCCGTTTGCGACTCGTGACGCTGCCCTCTACACTCTCACTCGCTGGAGAGTCTGCAGCAACCCCCGAGAACCAAATGTCTGGTCATTGGATGCTCGCGCATTGAAGGCTTCAGAGTGCCTCCTACAACGTGCGCCTCCGAGATACTCGATGGGCTCGCTACACACTTGTTCCGCTGTCAAGCGTTTGTTGTTTTGCCATTGTTGTTTTTCTTTCGGTGCTCGCGCACGTAAGACGTATGTCGGCGTCCTGCAACGTCTGGCGTACGTCTCAAGAGATGCTCGATGCACTTGCTCCGCTGTCACATTTTTGTCGCTGTACCATTTTGTCCCTTCGATAATCGCGCACGTAACGACGTAAGTCGGCATCCGACGAACGTCTGTCTTGCCCCTCAGGGGTTCGTCAAGCACGCACTCCACCGTCGAACTTTATTGGCGTACTTGTTTGGCATCTTCTTTGATGCTCGCGTGTGTGTGTGTCCCCCCACCCTCAAGATGGGATCCGAAGACTTGCACCCTGGAGCTGATCGGGTTCCATGACCCGAGGGTGTACGTGATGAGCCTCTCCGTGGTCAAGCACAAGTTTATTCTCGTCGGTGACGCCTATGGCTCTGTGCAGGTGTTTGCTGTTGTTGCTGTGGCTGCTGCTGCTTTTGCTGTTGCGGCGCCTGCTGGTTGTGTTGTTGTTGTTGTTGTTGTTGTTGTTGTTGTTGTTGTTGCGAAGCCATTTTTCTTTGCACGTGGTTGACCTTGTCATGCATGCTATACTGACTGCCTCCCCCCCTGATAGCTTGGGTAAGGGGACTGCTTGCTACCGCGCCGTATTTGTCCCTTTCCTCTGCCTGTGGCGAACATAGGGTCTGAAAGACATGGCTTCAATTCCCCCTTGTCTGTGGCGGTGTGTGTCCCACGAAATTCCGAAATGTCTTGCAGATAATGCTGAGTACCTCACACGGGGCGTTCTCCGTCACTCTCCCGCCCTCCCCCCCCC